CCACGTAAATCTACTCGTAGACTGGTCCCATGGCTTCTAGAAGCTCCAGATCAGGGGTCTTCAAACTTGGCCCTTTTATGACTTGTGGACTTCTTCCACCCTACGGAGAGAGAAAAGGGTCCCGATTCTGGATCCTGAACGTGGCTGCCCCTCCCCCGAAAGTCTAATACAAGGGCCTTCAAACTTGGCCCTTTGATGATTTGTGGACTTCAACTCCCAGAATTCTCCAGCAAGCATTCGTTTACTCTCTTGTAATCCCTTCCTCTGCAATCTCTCCGCTTTAGTAGGAGGAAAAAAACAACAACCCAGGCATGGCTGACTGAGGAATTCTGGGAGTTGAAGTCCACAAGTCATAAAAGGGCCAAGTTTGAAGACCCCTGCTCCAGGTCCTCAATGGAGGTCAGTCTTCCTTCCTTCCTTCTCAGATCTGCAGCTGATCCCACCGTCGCCGGTTAAAGGACATAGAAGTCATTGTTATTGGACACCTCGGCAAACCTCTGGCGACCGAGAGGGGCCCCCTGGGACTCCGGAGGATTCTTCTTGCCATTCTTCTGGAGGTGGACCCCCACAGAGTCTCCCAGCAGCGGCCTCTGGCACGGCCTCTCCTGCTTGGGCTTGGCTACCGCTTGGCCGGGGCTCTTGAGATGGCGCTTCTCCTTGGAGGAGGCCACGCAGCAGCGGCAGGCCAGGAACGGCTTGGGAGGCGGTTTGCTCTTCCTTCTGGGCAAGGAGGCAAGCCCTCTTTGGACGGGGACCCCCTTGGGCTTCGCGGGGGGCCCTTTCAACCGGCTCCTCTTCTTCTGGACCGGGTCCAAGCTGGTGTCCGAATGCGAGGAGCAGCTTTCGTTCCAGGCGGCGTTGCCGCAGGCGCTGAGACTCCGGAGAGGCAACGCTAGACGTAAGGCTTTCCAGAACTTGGAACCCACGTGGTTGGACCTCTCGCCCTTCCAGATCACGAAGGCCACGGATTCCTTCAGCTGCTGGATGCTTGGGTGGGCTTGGGGCAACGGCTGGTACTCCAGCACCACCAACTTGGTGGCAATGTTGTTCTGGCAGAGGAGACCTAGCTTGAACTCCAGAAGGCTGATGCTCTTCTCCAGGAGATAGTCGGGGCTCAGGACCACGATCATCTTCCGGCTTTTTTGGATGAAGTCGAAGATGGCTTCGGTGAGGTCTAAGCGGAAGAGGGAAAGGCGAGTGGTTAGAGCAGGAGAGCCCAAATCGTGACAGCGTCTTCCAATATCTGAGGGGCTGCCACAAAGAATAGAATAGAATAGAATAGAATAGAATAGAATAGAATAGAATAGAATAGAATAGAATAGAATAGAATAGAATAATGGAATGGAATAGAATAGAATGGAATAGAATAGAATAGAATAGAATTAATATAATAATAGAATAGAATAGAATAGAATAGAATAGAATAGAATAGAATAGAATAGAATAGAATAGAATAATGGAATGGAATAGAATAGAATGGAATAGAATAGAATAGAATAGAATAGAATAGAATAGAATAGAATAGAATAGAATTAATATAATAATGGGATGGAATGGAATGGAATAGAATAGAATAAAATAGAATAGAATAGAATAGAATAGAATAGAATAGAATAGAATTAATATAATAAT